GACTATTTTTTTATCAGTGTCTTGCCATGGCCCTAATTAGTTTTCTTTACGACAATTTTAGTCTACGCTGAAAACAAATGCCTCTACAATTTTTCCACAAGCTTCGCTAACGGCCTGGTTCAGCGAARCCTGTTCGTGCAGCAGTGACAAAATCAAGTAGATATGTATGTAGGTATTCTTTCCAAAAACCTATACGAAAGCCAATACAAAGCCTAACTTATATATGTACATACATACATACAAGCACACCACTATGCCCCTAAATACATTTGCTTAAACGACTAAACAAATTGAGAATGCAAATAAAATATGCTAATTTGATAAGGAAAAAATGAATAKCTTACGCGAAGCCACAATAAACTTGCGCCGCAGCGGTGAAGCGCAGAAACACACCGAAAGATATAAAATAGAAAACTTWGTAATTTACAAAGAAGACCTTAGAGATGGAAATCAAAAAGAAGCCTACAAAGAATAATCAAAACTAGATAAGCAAATATTTGTTAATAAATAACAATAACAACAATAACTTCATACTCCCCAGCAACAAAGTCAACCAGAAGCAKAGGAGACGAATCAGAAGAGCCAGAAGAGCAGAAAAAAGGCTGAGTAAGTACGCTTGARCGCCAGATTTCAATCTAAACTAAATTATTATGCAGATACTTGGGATCGATAAGCGCGCAACAACAATAAGAACACCATATCTATGCGCAGTGCACAGTAGCACAGTAGCTATATATACACACACACACATACATACGTGCAATGAAATAGCAGTTTAGTGGCTGATTGCATTACAACTGTATTTTAAATAAACATACTTAGGAATTCTTTTACAAAGATATTTGTACAATTCGTTCTTCATAAATTGTCGTGCTAAGCAAAACATAAATTCTTGTGAAGGTCGCAGACTTTTCCGCCGTGACATTTAAAAGCTAACCCATGTTCAGTGCCCAATATTTGGTAAGCTTTGAATTTTRTATATATGTATACATATGTATATAGCTGGGCTTTTATAGAAGTATGTTGTAACATAATTGTTCAATTATAGAGTGTGTGTCATCTTTCCTTTATAACTAATCGGTTGACTTGGATAGACTCATAAATCTAAAAATTCTCACCAATTGGTGACGTTTTAAGGGATTATATCCTTTTTTTGAATATCAAAACATCGATTTGTTTGGTTATATCGTATGTATAGTATGTACATAGTTTTAAGAATATTCTCCGAAGATTTTAAGATGAACTCAAATTGAGGTAATTGTAAAATTATTTTTAGTGTAATCGGCTCGTAAAACTTTAAGTGTGTTTCATTAAAATCCTGTTTTAAAAAATGGTAATAAACTTGTCTTGAAATTTTTACATGATATAGATTCAGGTAAAAAGCAAAGCAATCAGATTATCAATAATAATTTCTACTTTTAAGACACTCTTTGGCAAAAGACACCATTTTGAAAAAAATTTAAATTTCGACTACTCATTCGATCATTAACAGTATTTTTTCAAACACTTGGCGTAAAAAATAAAAATTTAGTTTTTAAAAAGAATCTTCAATCAATATACGTATATACAATATTTATAAAACTTCATTTTTTATTTTTTAATCCCAATGTTGAGATTAAGTATAAGATTTTTTTTATACAAACGCGAAAAAAAGTTGAATTCTTAAACATTTTTTTAATCAATTTGAAATCAATTCAAATTTTCTTATACATTATTTGCAACCCTGGTAATATTATTATTATTATTATTATTATTTTTTTTTTTTTTTTGATTTTTTGTTTTGAGAATATTTTAAGCAGCATTTCGTTGATGTGCTCAGACGCCTTTTTTCACAAATTATAAAAGTGCATTAACATCTGCAACAGAACATTTTTTTAAATTTATCTATTAAATACAATTATTATTCGAAGAAAATTGACAAGAAATAATTTTTATTCTGAAATGCAAGTGAATATAGTCCCTGCGCTACGGTAGTGAAAATATATAAAGCGCACCCTGTAAAAATGTGCCGAGTATTCACTGCTTTGACAAATACATTGCATTGTGAATTTAATATAAAAAAAACTATAAGGGCATATTGAAATTTCTTAGAGTGGCAACCTAATCAAATTGTAATGTTTCTTTGTTTTTTTCAAAGAAATGAGTACCGCTGTCTGGAAAATACCCTACTAAACCCTAACTGTGTACTGTGTATGTCTAACACGTATTTATATRTATTTAAATACCCATTTTCTTAYAAAAAGTTTCTAAAATTTTGTTGGATTCCTTCATTTTTTGAATAAATGTACATACCTTTTATTTCGGTTATGTTGTTTTAATCCAATTTTTGTTGTTTTGTCACAGTAATTCCAAAATGTGTCACATGTGCTGTCACTGTTGTCGTTGCTTTGCTGATTTGCACTGTTTATTTGAATGTGTTCCAAGCATTCATAAAAACAAAGAAGTGTAAGTGACAAATTCTGCTCGTTGCTGTTTTTTATAATTTCTAATTTAATTTTTTGTTTTTGTATTTCCACAATTCGAAGCTTGCCCGCCAAACACTTGACCTATGAAAATAAATGTATTCCCTTTATTTATTATTTTCCATTAGACTGTTGTTTTATTATTCGTATTAGGAACTCTTTCTTTATAAATATACATTTTTATTAGTTTACACCATTTCAATAAATTTTTCTTTAAGTTAAGCATATTATTGTGTTTCACTACCTCGAAAGTTGAAAAGTTCGTTTTAGATCCCTGTGACATGTGAGTGTGTCACTTAAAATATTTCATAGTTTGACCCAATGTTCAACAGATTTCCTTTGCGAAGTAATGAAAAGTTTGCTCATTATAATACACAATCCAAGTTATTAGATGAAGTTTTTGAAATAGACAAAAGGTTCTATGTTCCAGATTTGCTTTCCTTTCTATACATTCAGATCGTAAATTTTATATGTCAAACCTTATATTTAAAGTAAATTTTTGTTAAAGAGATTGGAGTTTAGTAAAAGGAATGAAAATACTAGTATCAAGGTTCTGTATTCTTCTCAGAATATGTTACCTCTACATTTTTCTAAGAATGAAACTCAACACTTTTTCCTTAAATGTCCCACTTTTGCCTCAAATCTCATACTTTTGCTGAAAACTGATATTAAATTGGATTGGGATCACAAAGCMCTGTACATWGCAGTTTAAGTGYGATCCACCCCAGAATGCTGAACRATGAGCCACCTAGCTTTACCTATCCTATGTAGATGCAAGTATAACTTGGGTTGGCACTGACCGATGAGAAAGATACACTGCTATTAGTAAAGCATGCTSTCTCATTTCCATTCAGATAACTCAATATTGACCGATATATGCGAAATAAAGTTACCCGGAGATTCGAAATCTTTATATTAGATACATATATGGGGCTTCAAGGAAGTATTAACCCGAATTATTCCATTTCTTGGACAAAGACAAACCATTGTCAGGAAAGGATAATCTCGGAATTTTATCATCAAAATATAATATAACACATATTGACCAATATTTTTGGTCATAAGGTGACATATTCTAGAGGCATTATTTGTACAAGATTTTATCTCGATAATTGCGTTTGATTTGTTTACTGGAAAGAGAAAGAATCAATTGGAATTTAAAATTGAGCCGATCTCAGCCATTTTTGAACAGTAGCATAGGAATGTGACAAAATTCCACTTACCAAATTTAGTTGAACTCGATAGATCGGGTTCCTAGATATGTGATKTGACCTATTTATTTCTCTGTCCTATTTAGTTATTGATTTAGTATAGCACTGCGATCTCCTATCCTAAATTAGAGTTCTCTATCTTTTTCTAATTCTCGGATTATGCTCTTCAGCAACATGTTGAATACGATTGAAAAAAAAAACAAGAATCCTTAGCTTTGATTCGCTGATCAGCTTTAGATAATAAACTATATCGAATCTCGTGAAGATACCGTCTCCAATATAAGAGTTGCSCATGCAAAGACTTGAGTTTGATCAGTCAGTTTGTCTGACAGCTATATTCTTTAGTTGTCTGATTTTGTCGGTTCCGACAAATGAGCATTTTCTTAGTGAGAAAAGGRCGAGTGCAAATTTTTTAGATTTATATGTACAAAGGGACGGACGGGCAGCTAGACGGGCATGACTAAACCGGTTCAACCAAAAAATCTAAGCTAATTGTACAAAAACTAATATTACTAATTGGCAGTGGATTTAAATCGCAATTAGCAGTCGAACTATTTTTTTTTTTTAATTTTTCAGTTATTATAACAATCGTACTTTCCGGATTTTATTTTTTTTTTAAGTAAAAGCAACAAAAACGTTTAGTTGTAGTTATGAAACAGTTTCTCAAAAACAGTTTTTCCAATAAGAATATGATTACTGATGAACTTAACTCTGATATAATMCCAAAGCTCTTCAAAATTTTCGTGAAAGCTGTTATTTCATGACTTGAGTGCCGCATTCAAAAATATTTCAAAAAAATAATAACCTTTTTTAACTTCTATTTACACRTCACCAATTGTGTTTGTATTTAGAATCTTTTAATATTTTAATTTTAGTTTTCCAGGCTTTTGAGCGACAAAAAATTAAAAACCCAAACTTTTCACGTTTAAAAAAAAATTTTTTTCTCGTTCATTAAGAGCATGTAAAAATGTCGAAAAGCAATAAAAACGATGTTTTTTCAATTTTCATTTTGATTCATTAGGCTCACAAAAAAATTTCAAATATTCACTTWAAACAATAAACGATAGTTTGTTAGTATTTATATTTTTTTAACGCTTACAACGTTTGTTTTGATTTCGATGTAAACATTTAGATTAATTACATTAAAATTTTAAATTTTTTTCTGTTGCATAGGCTTTTTGGCAAAATTCACACTTCTTTATGCAATTGTATTTACTTTTTTCGCGCCACGTACATATCTATCATACAACTTTTTTGTTGATTTCAATATTATTAATTCACACTCTTTCCGCATTATCACATTACACTGACAGCTTCCATCACCCACCTTCATAACAGAATAGCACCATATGACAGCAAAAAACGTCAACGAACCGAAATTCGCGCGCCTTTTTTATCAATAATGGAATTTCATACACAGCATCAGCTATTCGTTTTATTTTTAAACACTTTTTTGTTGTCGATTCCAACTTTGCCAATCACTACTCTGGGTTTGTTTGCGTCTTCTTCATCACTTTTTTGTTATTGTTGCYTTTGGTCTGGCTCACATTCGCCGAGCGATGCCAATGACAACGAGTATAACGTTTACGAGTKGGAAAACGCACGCTTGTATGCCGTTCGCTAGCGAATCGTGTAGAATCACACTTACTACTCCGCTTCAATGCCGCCTCTGTGCACGTCAAACGACAGACTAAAGCAGGCCGTGCACGGCCACAACGATGATACCCCAAAGCRAAACAGAAAACAGCAAAACAGTAAAGCTGTAAAACACACAAGCACAAGTCAGCTGCCAAACAGGCCGAGGCAGCCGCAACAGCAGTGGCAGCAGCTGAGGCAGAAGCAGTCGAGATAGCAGCRCCGTCAGTGGCGAAAGGCAACGAGCAGGCACTAGTGGCGTCAACAAAGTCAGCGAAGCGAKGGCAAAAAGCATGAAAGAAGCACACACACAACAGGCCGCAAAAGCGAGAAAGCCCCCGGCAAAAAGCAACGAACAACCGAGACAGAGCAAAAGCCAAAGTCAAGCAGCAATGGCACAGAGCCATGCCGCCAACTACGCGCTGAGTGTGGCCAAGYGACGGAGAAGCTAAGAGACAGCAGCGTTGGCGGCGCAGCAGTCAACATGGGCGCTGAAGCTCATAGTAGCAAGCAGCAGTGTAGGCGAGCCAGCCAGCCAGCCAGCCAGCCAGCCAGCCACCAGTCAAGTGGTTCATAGTGAGTTCCTCGGCAGCAGCAAGGTATTGAAGCGAAGCTTTGGAATATAGATATTCGCTATAGTTTCTTCTGTTCGCTAATGTGGGTGACAGAGGCTGGCGCTGAGACACAGCACAAGTCACAGTMGGTTCGGCAGCGCACATTTGTGCTTCAATTGTAGGCAGAGAATCGCCGACAAAAACCGCGACCCAAAACACTTAAAGCTTCTAACGTGCAAAGGCAAAAAGCAAATGTGTGAATACAAAAACAACGAGAAATGCAAACAATGCCAACTGTCCGCTATGGTGRTATCAACAAACAAGCAAATTGTTTTTGTGTTTTGTGTGCTGTGTGCTGTGCCTCCAGCGAGCCGGCAAAGTTAAGTGAGAGTGAAGTAGTTTAACTGGCCTGGCAAGCTGCGCTGCTTGTTGGCGTTCTACGCGCAGCAGCGGCGGTGCTCCACTCGGTGTCGCAGATGTTAACTGTGACACGKCTTTTTCACTATCCACATGAGGGAATGATTTTTCTCTCTGTATTATACATATGTATGTATGTATGTAGTTATGCATGTCTGTATAATGTCTCATTGGCAATGCGACAAAAATTGCATTACGGCGCGAATTCTTCTGCTTGGCTTATTAAAAACTGTGACAGACCCCGCTACAGTRTCATTAGCAATATTGGCGCCACGTGAAGCGCTAATAATATTATCATAATGTTTAACCCATATTGCGAGCATAKATTTTTGCGCATTTTGTGTCTTTAAATAACCAAAGATACAACGATTTTTTAATTCTTTCGAGAACTTTGTGTTCTTTTTTGACATCCCAACAGTGGTCAATGTAACCTTAATTCCTCTATAAAAATTTGGGGCCTAAGCATTGTAATGTTGGTATGACACATTGTTTACGAGATAATTTTCAGTTTTGATACCCTGAATATTTTGTTATATATATATATATTTTCTATAGTCTATGCTACAAAATTTCTRGTAAACTTGATGAAGCCTGTTCAGGATATGAAAATATTTTCGAATAAGTAAGCTATTAGTCAGTACTTAGTCAACAGTTGAGAAAATCTATTAAGGAAGTAATATTGGAGGAAATAAACAARCAAAATCGCCAATAATAATAAAGTGTGAAAAGTATCTCTAATCAAGCCATACTATTTGAGGATTCAGGATCAACTGTCGAAAAAGGATCTAAACTTCGGTTCTATCAAAGTTTATGATGTCAAAAAGAGACTTAAATTTAATTCATTGAAAATTACTGGAAATTAACAAACCTAAACTTTCCTCCTGGGTTATGTTATGTAAAGCAATTCAGATCCCACATAAGCATATAACYTCAGAATTAATCTTATAAGCCCAAAATAGGTCACTTAGAACTCGTCCGCGGTGCAAAATAATCTTAGGAACTGAATCCTGTGAAAAAAGAGTGTTATGTGGCAGGTGTCTATTTTCCAGACTTCTTTAAAAAAAATRAACAGAATTRAATTTCAGAAAAAATAGGGAGACGRACTCTCAAACTTGTTTTACGGGCTTAAGTTGTAATAATTTCTAATATCTACAAATGCTTGTTTCTTGCAAACAACTTCTGTATACAAAAAGTACCCGTACTGACCTACAAGGSTTAAAGAAGTCGCCTTCGCCCGTGCGAACATCATCAACATATTAAGTATCTGTTATCAGCTCTTGCTCCCGCAYAATTCTTTCTCCGCTGTAATGTATGCAAGCGCACATATACACATACATCTACACAATATTCGTCTGCAGTACGTCACTTCCTGCCAACTGACGGAAGTCGCCAACAAGCAGCAAGTTTGCACATTACAAGCTTTCGTGTTGCGTTATCAGCGATTATGAGCATCACGACAACAATTCGCTCATTTATGCACGCTTGCCTCATTTCAATATTCATTCATATGTATATTTAAGTGAGCACGTGTGAATGTATGCTCTCGCATCCTTTCAGTCCTTCGCCAAGTCACACACAGCGCGTAAACAATAGACGATCAAGTACGACAACATTATGTTGACGACATCAACAGTCATAACGGCAAAAACGGCCGCACATTCGCACAGCCGACATCCGCTGCGCTRCCCCACTCAGTCGTCAGCGTTGTCGCCGTCATCGCCGTTGTCGTCGTCAACGTCAACAGCGACGCTGTCAGGTTCGTTATGTCAACTATTTATGACGTTAGCTGAATGGAACCACGGTAGTACGACCGGCATTTTCCCCACAAACAACAACAAGCATACGATATTACATTGACAACGACCGTAAGTACAGAAACAATGGCAACAATGCTGACAATGATTTGCAAATTGGCTGAACAATGAATGGGCTCTCCATCGCTGCTCATACCCGGCGCTTGTGTGTGTTGACTGCAAAAGTACATATACTTGTGGCGCTTCGCTTGGCCCACTGTCTGTCTGGTGCTGTTCCGTTTGTCGGCATATTTTCTTGTTCACAGGCTGCTGCCGGCGTTCGGTACGACAGTTGCTCAGTTGACTGTTCATTCGTCGCTTATGCGCCTGTCACAACTTTGTTACATTCTGGCTGAGTGAGTGAGTGGTGACTAATGTATACTTTTGTTTTACTTTCTATCTAACATTTAGTAGGGGAATTTAAGGGCGAGTTCATGAGTTGCCTTGCTTTTTCGTTCCTTTAACTTCGATATCCTCGAAACTTAAAAATRTTTGATATCTCTCATATATATTTTTGGAATATACATATATTTGGAATACTGATGAGGGAAAAGGAAGTACTACTGTCGGAAAAAAATAGTAAGACTCTTTCATTTTAGTATCATGCTAAAATCCTTCGGTAATAATTTTTTGTCGCAAACCGGTGTTTTTGATTAGTACAAGTTATTCAAGAGGGTCGTTGACGACGAACAAAGTCCAGGACGGCCATCAACATCAACTCATGATTAATACTTGAATAAAATACAGGTTTTTATGCTTGAGAATCGACAATATTCAGTCAGTAAGGTTCCAAAATCACAAAATTTTTTCGAGAAACATCGTCACGTTAACGTCATGAAATGTCTTAAAAAACCACGTCATAGCATATCAAAAATCAGTTTTCTTCGAATATCGAGTGYACTCCGAATTCCTTCCGCCCGGCCAAATTGTTAACAGGGTCATGCGTCTTTTGCGCTATTCGTAAAAAAAAGAGGCCGACATTTTTGGATCGACAATTATTGGTTTTTGCACCACGATAATGACCGTTGTATTGATTCTTCGTGRGTTTTTTCGCCAAATTTTCAGTCAATATCGTGTCGCGACCAACTGATTTAGCTCCGTGTGACTTCTGGCTATTCTGGCTATTCAGCAAACTCAAACGACCATTTCGGGGAACCCGTTTTGAGTCAATAGAAGACATTAAACGTGAATAGGTACGCGCATTGAATGTATTCTGGAAATTGACTTTAACAACTGTTTCGAGGATTTAAAAAAAGCTTTTGGGGGGACGACAAAGATTCTGAAGAATAAATTAGGAATTTTAAAATTATGGACAAAGTCTTACTATTAGTTGCCCACATTCCGTGTGAATAAATATAAATTATTTTCTGAAGAAGATTTAGAATGCTATATCTAAAGTGATATTCAATGCTTTTGGCGCGTTTATTCAGAAAGTTATCACACTTTTAATAGTTTTCATCATAACCGTTATATGAAGAGTGGGCATGTTTTTTATACTCTCGCAACATAGTTGCTAAGCAGAGTATTATAGTTTTGTTCACATAACAGTTGTTTGTAAGTCCTAAAACTAAAAGAGTCAGATATAGGGTTATATATACCAAAGTGATCAGGGTGATGAGTAGAGTTGAAATCCGGATGTCTGTCTGTCCGTCTGTCCGTCCGTCCGTCCGTGCAAACTATAACTTGAGTAAAAATTGAGATACCATGATGAAACTTGGTACACGTATTTCTTGGCTCCATAAGAAGGTTAAGTTCGAAGATGGGCAAAATCGGCACACTGCCACGGCCACGAAATGGCGAAAACCGAACACCGAAAGATATATAATACAAATAAAGATATTAAATACAAATTTGGCACAAAGGATCGCATTAGGGAGGGGCATATTTGGGCATAATGTTTTTGAAAAAGTGGGCATGGCCCCGCCCCCTACTAAGTTTTTTGTACATATCTCGGAAACTACTATAGCTATGTCAACC